TGCTAAAGTGACATAATTTCCCTACTTACAATCGCATATATGCTGATTTGTATTACAGAAACAAGTATTAGGTATCAGAATAGACTATACAGGGAAAAAAAAATTAATCTTCTTTCTTAGGCCCCCCAGCCATCTAGTTCCCTATCTGAAGACAATCATTGCTCCCACTACTTTGGTGGACATTAGTGTGTACACTGTATAATATGACTGTATGTTATATATGTATAATAAGAATGTATATTCTGTTTCTTCATGCAAATGAACATGTGTTATATACCCTATTCTGCATTGTTTTTTTCATATTTTTTCATATTACTATCTATTGATACTAAGGAGCTTCTCTATTCTTTTTCTTTTCTATTCTTTTTAATGTTAGTAGTTACATATTCCATTGCATAGTTGTAACATTAATTGGGCTCTGATTTATTCATCTCATTTATTTAACACATTTTATTTTTTTACTGTATGCCAGGAATGGTTCTGGACATTATAGATCAGTGAAGGAAACAGACAAAACTCCCACCCTCATTGGGCTCACATTTCATTGTTTTTTGTTATTCCAAGTAATGCTGCAGACAAGGATATCCTTGTACAAATGTCATTTTTTGCATGTGGAAGTATATGTGTAGATAAATACTTAGAAATGGAATTACTAGGTCAAAGTGCACATGCATTTTTAAAAATTAATAGATTTTTTTAGTAGTTTGAGTTTATAGAAAAATTGGAAAGTAACAGGCATTCCCATATACCCCCTTACTCCCCTTCCAACCAGTTCCCCCTATTATTGCTTTAGTTTGTTACATTTATTACAATTAGGGATCCAGTATTGATACATTATTCATATCTAAAGTCTGTGGTCTGCATTAGGGTTCACTCTTTGTGTTATGCATTCTGTGGATTTTGACAAATGTGTGGTGACATGTATCCATCATTACAGTACCATACAGAGTAGAATTAAAATCCCCTGTGCTCCACCTATTCCTTGCTTCTACCCCATAAAACTTTGGAATCTTCCTTCCACCCCATGAAGCCCTGGAAACCATTGATCTTACTGTTTTCATAATTTTACCTTTTCCAAAATGTCATATAATTGGATCAGACAGTACATAGCCTTTTTAGATTGGTTTCTTTCACTTAGTAGTATGGATTTAAGGTTTCTCTATGTATTTTCATGCTCAATAATACATTTCTTTTTAGAGATGAATGGTGGAGATGAATAATATCCTGCTGTCTGGGCGTACCACAGTTATCCATTACCTACTGAAGGACAAGTTTTGGCAATTATGACTGTAAACATTCATGTGCAGGTTTTTGTTGGGTATAAGTTTTCAACTAATTGGGTAAATATCAAGGAGCATTATTTCTGAATAGTATGGTAAGAGTATGTTTAGTTTTATAAGAAACTGCTAAACTGTCGTCCCAAGTGGCTGTACCACTTTGCAATCCCTCCAGCAGTGAATGAGAGTTCTTCACATTCTTATCAGCATTTGGTGTTAGTATTTTGGATTTTGGCCATTCGTATAGGTGTGTAGTGGTATCTTATTTTTTAAAAATTTGCAATTCCCGGGCGCCTGGGTGGCTCAGTTGGTTAAGCGACTGCCTTCGGCTCAGGTCATGATCCTGGAGCCCCAGGATCGAGTCCCGCATCGGGCTCCCTGCTCGGCAGGGAGTCTGCTTCTCCCTCTGACCCTCCTCCCTCTCATGCTCTCTGTCTCTCATTCTCTCTGTCTCAAATAAATAAATAAATAAAATCTTTAAAAAAAAAAAAATTTGCAATTCCCTAATGACATGATGTTGAGCATCTTTTTATATGCTTATTTGCTATCTGTATATCTTGGTGAAGTATCTGTTCAGATCTTCTATTTTTAATTGCTTTTATTGATGAGTTTAAAGATCTTTGTGTATTTTGGATACCACTTCTTTATCAGTTAAGTGTTTTGCAGATATTTTCTCTCATTCTGTGGCTTGTGTTTTATTCTCTTTCGCAGATTAGAAGTTTAATTTTAATGAAAGCTTACCAGTTTTTTATCTCATGGATTGTGCTTTTGGTGTCATCACCAAACACAAAGTCACCTAGGGTTTCAAATGTGTTCTCTTCTAGGAGTTTTATAGTTTTGCATTTTACATTTATGTCTATGAGCCATTTTGAGGTTTTTTATTTGGTTGGTGTTTTAGAGAGTGCGTGCAAGAGAGCAGGTGTAGGGTGGGGGGAGAGAATCCTAAGCAGGCTTCTTGTTCAGCACAGTCTGACGAGGGGCTCGATTCCATGACCCTGAGATCATGACCTGAGCAGAAATCGGGAGTCAGATGCTTAACCAACTGAGCCACCCAGGTGCCCCATTGAGTTAACTTTTGAAAAAGATGTTAGGGCTGTGTCTAGATGCTTTTTTTTCTTTGTTGTTTTTGTTTTGCATGTGTTTATCCCCTTATTCAGCACCATTTGTTGAAAAAGGCTATCCTTTTCCCATTGAATTGCCTTTGTTCCTTTGTCAAAGATCAGTTGATTTTATTTGTGTGGATCAATTTTGGGACTTTCTGTTCTGCTTATCTTTTGGTTTTTGACTAATACCACACTGTCTTGATTAATTGTAACCTTATAGTGAAGCAATGAACAATTGGAATTTGGAATTAAAGGCACAATACTATTTATATTAGCACCCCTGCCCAACATACTTAGGTATAAATCTAACAAAGTATGTGCGAGATATTAGGAAAACTACAAAATTCTGATGAAAGAAATCAAAGAATACCTAAATGTATAAGGAGATGATATTCCATGTACATGGATAGGAAGATTCAATATTGTAAAGATGTCAGTTTTTCCGAACTTGGTTTATATATTTAGCATAATCCCAATCAAAATCTCAATAAGTTATTTTGTAGGTATCAACTGACTCTAAAGTCTGTATGGAAAGGTAAAATAACCAGAATAGCTACATAGTATTGAAGGAGAATAATGTCAGAAGACTGACACTACCTGACTTCAAAACTGTACTTACTATAAAACTATAGTAATCAGGACAGTGTGTTACTGGAGAAAGGATAGACAGATAAATCAATGGAACAAAATAGCTCAACAGGGTGGTTCCAATCCCAGTTCTCCTACTTGCCTGCCATGATGTTTTAGGCAAATCACTTCAGTTTTCCTCATCTATAAATCACTGTAGGGTTTGTATGAAGATTAAATGAGATAATGCATATAAAGCATACAGCGCATTGCCTGAGATATGGTAAGAGCTTGATACATTTTAGCTATTGTGCATTTTCTTTCTTTTTAAAAATATATTTTTTAAAGATTTTATTTATTTCAGAGAGAGCACACAAGCATGAGCAGGGGAAGGGGCAGAACAAACACTCTGCTGAGCAGGGAGCCCGATGCAGTGCTCCATCCCAGGACCCTGGGATCATGACCTGAGCCAAAGGCAGATGCCCAACCAGCTGAGCCAGCGAGGTGCCGCACTGTTGTACATTTTCTAATTTGATCCTGATAAGATTCACAAGAAAGGGGCAGATCAGGTATTATTCCCATGTTATAGATCAGAAAATAGGAGTTTCAGGGCTACTAATACTTGACAGAGGTCAAGTGGTTAGGTAAATGGCAGAGCCACAACTATGACCTAGTCTAGAATTACTCCATGTTACCTAGGATATTATCAATATTATCTAGGTTAACAGGAAAGGTAATGTCCTCAAAAGAGGTTTTACAAATATATGAAAACAAAACTAAAAAAATATATATATATATAGGCAGCACTTTAATGTACTTTTATCCAAAGTGGAAAAAAAGAGTTGTTGTTAACCCAACTTTTAATTCCTGATAATAAATTCATCTTGGTCAAGATGCATTATCCTGGGGCGCCTGGGTGGCTCAGTGGTTAAGCGTCTGCCTTCGGCTCAGGTCATGATCCCAGAGTCCTGGGATCAAGCCCCGCATTGGGCTCCCTGCTCAGCGGGAAGCCTGCTTCTCCCTCTCCCACTCCCCCTACTTGTGTTCCCTCTCTCGCTCTCTCTCTCTGTCAAATAAATAAATAAAATCTTAAAAAAAAAAGATGCAGTATCCTTTTGATACATTGCTAGATTCACTTAACATTTTGTTTAGGTCTTTTGCAGGTATATTCATGAATGGTATTGTCCTATGATTTCATTTATTTTCCTTTTTCATAATGTTTTTGTCAGGTTTTAGTATCAGAGTTTTTCTAGCATCATATGTTGAATTGGGGTATATTTACTTTTTTCCTATTCTGTGGGAGATTGTATAAGATCAGTATTTTTTCCTTTATTTTTTATTATTACAATTTTTAAAGATTTTATTTATTTGAGAGAGTGAGCACAGAGAGAGTGAGCAGAGAGAGAGCACAAACGGTGGGGAGGGGTAGAGGGAGAAACAGACTCCCCACTGAGCAGGGAGCCTGATGTGGGACTCCATCCCAGGACCCTAGGATCATGACTTAAGCCAAAGGCAGACGTTTAACTGACTGAGCCACCCAGGCGCCCAGTATTTTTTTCCTTTAATGTTTGCTATAATTTTATAGTGGGACCATATGGATCTGGAATCTTTAGTGTATGCATGGAAAATTTTTTTTTAATTTTATTTTTAAGTAATCTCTGTACCAAACATGGGGCTCAAACTCACAACCCGAGCATATACTCCTGACTGAGCCAGCCAGGTGCCCCCTGGAAATATTTTTGATTGTGGATTTCATTTTTTCAACAGCTATAGGTACAGGACTTTTCAGATATTTTAAATGTAAGTTCATTCAGATAATAGTTATTAACTGAATTTACTGCTTGAACTTCATGTAACAAAGCTACAACATTTTGAGCTTTAAAATCTTAATGCTGGGAACAGCCTCCGCCGAGAGTCGCCTCAGTTTCCTGCTTCAACAGTGCTTGGACGGAACCCGGCGCTCGTCCCCCATCCCGGCCAGCGGCTCAGAGCCAGCCCTTCGCCATCTCTTCAGAGCGCCCTCGGACCGCCCCAAGGCCCCCGCCGCCGCCTCTTCTCAGCCGCCGCCATGACGACTGCGTCCCCCTCGCACATGCGCCAGAACTACCACCAGGACTCGGAGACCGCCATCAACCGCCAGATAACCTGGAGCTCTACGCCTCCGACGTCTACCTGTCCATGTCTTACTACTTTGACCGCGATGATGTGGCTTTGAAGAACTTTGCCGGATATTTTCTTCACCAATCTCATGAGGAGAGGGAACATGCTGAGAAACTGATGAAGCTGCAGAACCAACGAGGTGGCTGAATCTTCCTTCAGGATATCGAGAAACCAGACCGTGATGATCGGGAGAACGGGCTGAATGCAATGGAGTGTGCATTACACTTGGAAAAGAGCGTGAATCAGTCACTACTGGAACTGCACAAACTGGCCACTGATAAAAATGACTCCCATTTGTGTGACTTCATTGAGACTCATTACCTGAATGAGCAGGTGAAATCCATCAAAGAATTGGGTGACCACGTAACCAACCTGCGCAAGATGGGGGCTCCCGAATCTGGCATGGCAGAGTATCTCTTTGACAAGCACACCTTGGGAAACAGTGATAGTGAGAGCTAAGCCGTAGGCTGTCTTCCCATAGCCACAAGGATAGGATGACTTCCCTGGTCACCAAGGCAGTGCATGCATGTTGGGGTTACCTTTACCTTTTCTGTATGTTGTACCTAAACATCTACTTAACTTCTTTCATTTGTACCATTCTTCAAATAAAGTAATTTGGTACCCCCCCCAAAAAAATCTTAATGCTGGGGCCCCTGGGTGGCTCAGTCGTTAAGTGTCTGCCTTGGGCTCAGGTCATGATCCCAGGGTCCTGGGATCAAGCCCCACGTCGGGCTCCCCACTCAGCGGGAAGCCTGCTTCTCCTTCTCCCACTCCCCCTGCTTGTGTTTCCTCTCTCGCTATGTCTCTGTCAAATAAATAAATAAAATCTTAAAAAAAAAAATCTTAATGCTGGATGTCACTTTTTTTTAAATGTCACAAAGTATACATAGCATTAAATTTACCATCTCAGCAATTTTTTAGTGTACAATTCAATAGTATTTAAGTACATTCACACTGTGTGCAACTAATCTCCAGAACTCTTTTCATCTTGCAAAATTGCAACTCTCCCCACTAAGCAGCAATTCCCCATTCTCCCTTTTCCCCAGCCCCTGGCAACCACCCTTGCACTTTTTCTCTCTGATTTTGACTACTATAGGTATTAATAAGTGGAATCATACAGTGTCTTTTTGTGATGTAACATAACATCTGCAAGGTTCATCTCTGTTAAAGAAGTATCAGAATTTCCTTCCTTTTTAAGACTAATGTTTCATTATATGTATATACCACATTTTGTTTATCCATTCATCCATCAGTGGACACTAGGTTGCTTCCATCTTTTGGCTGTTGTGAATGATGGTGCTATGAGCAATGGTATATGGTTATCATTTCAACACTCTGCTTCAGATTCTTTTGGGTGTGTACACTGCAGTAGAATTGCTGGATCATAGAGTAATTCTATTTTTAATGTTTTGAGGAACCACAATATTGTTTTCCATTTTATATTTCTACCAACAGAGGACTTTCCAAATTTTACATACTTTTGTGTGTCAGTAACCTGTATTTCTCTAGTAATTTGTTTCACCAAATTTATTGACATAGTGTTATGCCTTCAGTGTCTGTAGTGATAGCATTTTTTTCACTTATATTATTTTTCCTCCTCTTTTATTTTTTTTTAAAGATTTATTTATTTGAGAGAGGGAGAGAACGCACTCACGTGAGAGGGGGAGAGGGGTGGGGCAGAGGGAGAGGAAGAAAATCTAAAGCAGACTCCCTGCTGAGTGTGGAGTCCTACATGGCTAGATCCCACAACCCTGACATCATGACCTGAGCCAAAATCAAGAGTCCTAGGTTTAACTGACTGAGCCACCCAGGCACCCATCCTTCTCTTTTAAAAATCAGTGTTGGGGCGCCTGGGTGGCTCAGTCGTTAAGCGTCTGCCTTCGGCTCAGGTCATGATCCCAGAGTTCTGGGATCGAGCCCCGCATCGGGCTCCCTGCTCTGTGGGAAGCCTGCTTTTCCCTCTCCCACTCCCCCTGCTTGTGTTCCCTCTCT